TTTTCTACTGACCGTTTTCCATATAATTTTTAATATATAAATTTATAATAAAATATTTTGGTCTGAAACTTATGATATATTAATTTAATTTTGTTATAGAGACCTATTATAAGTTTAAAATTTATATAAGTATAATTAATATACTTACTTTCAACTTTAATTTATTAAGAAGAAGCAATTTTGAATTGAACATAAATAAATTCTTAATATATATATATAATCAGTTTTATGTAAAAAATTTATTTAGTATATATAATATAATATCAAAAAAAAAAATTTATAAATTATATATTTTTTTTTATTTATTAATAAATTATAATATTAAATTTTATCATGTAACTATTGAAAAAATATATATTAAAAATTAAAAAAAAAATTTTTTTATTTTATATTTATCATTTTTTAATAAATAAATTTAAATTTATTATTATAATTCATAAATAGCTTACAATTATTTAAAAGTAATAAATTTTTTATTAATTATAATCAAATAATTTAAAATTAAAGAACTATTATAAATTTTTAGTAAAATAATATAATTATATATTGAAAATGATATTTTAATAAATGAAATTAGATATTAATATAATTTTAATAAATATTATAAGTAAAATTTTTTTATTTATAATATGAGTATATTTAATAATTTTTACATGATATCATATTTAGGAATTATATAAAACATAATATAATTAAAAATATTTATACAGTATAATCTAAATATAAAAGTTACATACAAATTTTTTTAATTATATAAATAATTATTTAATTTAATAATTATTTAATTTATTTATTTAAAGATTTAATAAATATATTATAAATAGGTCAAAATTTGAAAGGCATATCAAATGAAAATATATATTAGAAACTTTGATTTATAATGAAATTTTTATCTATAATAGAATTACTTTATGTAAGTATTATAAAATCTAATTATATAATAGCAATTAACTATTTTCTTTTACTTTAATAACCTATTATAAATTAAAAAAAAATTATATTATTATAATGCTTTTAAGATTCTTAATAAAAATTCTCATATTTACTTTAAATTTGATGAATTCTAAAAATATTTGATATAAAATTCATTAAATAAAATATTAGTAAAAATATTATTGATAAAAAATATTTTAAAACTTTTCAAGATAAAAAAAAGAATTAATTTATTAATAAGTATATATCTTAGTAATCACTTAGTCTTATATAATGATAATTATTAAATTATATAAAGAATCTTTATGAAAGCTTGTAAATGATCTTATAACTGTTTTTGAAATAGATAATTTTTTTAATTTTTTATTATACCAGTTATTTTAAGAATATTTTTTCACAGAAATACATAAGAAAGGACTTAATTATCTAATTACATATTATTTAGATAAATTAGAATAAATTAAAAATATATATTAGTAAGAGATTTTAAGATAAAAGAATATATAAAGTAAATTATAATATTTTAATACTAGTAATCAAAAAAGATAAAATAAAATTTATTAGATTTTATCATATTAAGATATATTTAATAATAGTATTTTAAATTTAAAATTAGTAATTATTAATATATAAATTTTAAAATAACTTATTATCTAATAAGTACAAAAAAAATAAAATTTAGTTATTAGATTTATTTTATTAAGACCTATTAAATGATTATATTTTTATATTTTTAAGATTAATAGATAACAAGATATATAAGTTTAAAAATTTAATTTTTTTATATAATAATTTATTATATGTAGTTGTCTCTCTCTATAGTCACTTCCTATATAATTATATCATATAAATTTCTTATTATAAATAAAATCAAACTTAATAATAATATATAAAAATCTTCCTATATAATCACTTTATTATAATCACACTTTTTATTTTTAGTCCTAAGAGGTAACTATAAAGGGAATGACTATATTTACAGTATCTTTAAAATATTACTAATTAATTATATTTTTTTCTTAGAAAATATTATAAAATTTATTATAAAAATATTAAATTTTAAATAAATTATTTTAAAAATATGTAAAATTATTATAATAATTTTAATTTTTATATAAAATTGTAGGCAAATTTGTTTGTAATATAATAAAGGAATAAAAAAGTTTAATATCTGTAAATTTTTTAGAAAATTTAAATTTAATATTGATTTAAAAATAATTTCTTTTATATTTTTATTGTAAAATAATCTTTATTGCTCTAATAATATAAAATGTTAACTATTAAAAATAAATTATTTAGATATTTTGTAGTAGAAAAAGACAGATTTAATATTAATTCAAAAAAATTTTTTTGTAAATTTTTTTCTACTGCAAAACATTATATTAATTTAAATGTATTAAAATTATTGCATTAAAAAAAAATAAAATCCAAAGTTTTATGATTAATCTGCTTAATAATTTAAATTAATAATATAAATTTATAAAAATGAAGTATAAATTAATATTTTGTAATTATTAAATTATAGGTTTTTAAATGAGCTTTATAAGTAAAATATATACAATGACTTGAATAAGATAAATAATTTATCCCAAAAAGGATACATTTTACTTTAAGCAAAGCTCACGTGCAATCTTCGTATGATGTGTATTACAACAAACTCTATTTAAATCGAAAAATTTTCAAACATTTATTTTATACATAAATAGTGAAGGTAATGAATATTCAATTCCTTCCACAATTATCACAAAATTTATTAATATTTTAGATGATGATGAGTATTGTGATGTTAAGATTGAAGTTGGACAAGATCCTGAGGCAAAAATATTTCGAGCTCACATGGTTATTTTAAATTATCACTCGTCTTATTTTCGTAGAAAGTTAACTACAATTGGAAAGGGTTCCGATGGCACATCAGCGCAGATGAAACTATCAGATATCTCTTCCAAAGAATTGTAAGGTAATTTATAAAACAATTTGTTAAAGTTTAAATTTTTTCTAGATCTAAATATTTTTTCTTTTCGAAAAGATATATATATGGTGGTGGTATACTTTCTTTGGAAGGGGTGAAAACATTAGATGTATTCAATCTCTTTGTTGCATCTGAAAAATTTCATTCACAAGAGATTGTCAATTATTTACAAAAATATTTGATTCAAAACGAATCCAGATGGATGGAAGAACATATCTCACTGATTCATAGTACAACCTTTCAAAATAATAATTTCATTGAATTTCAAAGATTTTGTACAAATTTTATGTCAAAATATCCTGAAAAGGTATATAAATCACTTGATTTCACATCTCTTCCGGAAGAATCCCTTGTTACCATAATTAAACGAGATGATCTAAATATGAAGGAAATCGATGTTTGGGAATATGTATTAAAATGGGGTCTCGCAAGGAATCCAACTTTACTACCAGGATCAAAGATCGATTCGAAATTAATTACGAATATAGTTGCCGCGTATATTGCAAGTTGGGTTGATAAAAAGGAAGGTAAACATCCCGTTTATGGATTTACACCTTACAATACCTTTGATAATCCCTATGAATTTAAATTACTGTTACGTGGTAGCCGGGATGGATTTGACGCGGAGACTTTTCACAAACTCTGTGATGACAAACCAAAAACCGTAACGATTGTTAAAGTGAAAGAGACCAATGAAATTCTCGGAGGATATAATCCTATTATATGGGAATCAAACAATACGTTCAAATGGTCATCAACTGATAAAAGTTTCATCTTTACATTCACATTTATGAGTTTAAAAGATGCTATTTTAAGTAGAGTAAAAGATCATGACCATGCGATTGTATCTCATATCAAATATGGTCCATATTTTGGTAATGTGATAATAGATACTATGAAAAATATATGCCTGCAAAAGGCTTTTACGTTGAAGATTACGAAGTATTTCAACTTTTCGAAAAATCTTTAGGCTAATCCTATTATAAATAAAATTAAATTAATGGAACGCATGATGTATATTATATATACAGTACTTGGCAATAATTCTACCAGCAAATTATTTTTTTAAATAAATTATAATCGCTGCATTTTTTTTCTTGGAGGAAAAAAATTAATTATGTCATACATCATAACGACTCGACAAATATTAGAAATACAACTCGTCATCCGACATTAAAAGTTTTCACTCCCCTTTTTCTTTAAAAAAAAAAAAAAAGTAATTACTGTTACGAAATATGATTGAGCAAACAAAAAGTGCATTAATTAGCTTTAGAACTTCGTAAAAACATTCCTTAATGTGTTAAAAAAAACTTATGCTAATTGCAAGTGAAATGGGAGGAACATTTTTACTTCAAAAATAAATTTTGATTTTCCCGGCATTTCTAAAATCGTCATCAACATGACCCAATCAGAATTCGTGACCCGGAGATTTTCGGCTTGCTTTACGCGAAGGTTATAAAGTCCCACTCCATATTATAAAAGCTTTTGAAACTTCATATTGAGTTTGAAATTTTTATTAGCAAAGGTTGCATAATTCAGTATTTATATGTCATCTAAGCTATGCTTTTTTTCATATATACATATATACTAAGAAAAAAAAAAAGAAAAACATACGGCATCAAATAGATTAAAAAATGCAACCGCATTTTTAAATTTCTATTATTGCCACAAAATCAATGGTTCTTTTCTTCTCGACTAAAGCGAAAAATGAAAAGGAAAAAAAGTGAAAAAAAACATGAGAGATATATATACGTGTTATATACAACAATAATAAAGAATTTGAAATAGGCTATATTCATTTCAATCCGTTATACCGCTAAAAATGTATAAAATGCAAAAAAAAAATATAACAAGTAAAAAAAAAATGAAAAATGATCAGATTTTTTGATTTTAGTAATTACGCTGAAAATGTTGAAGCATTTCGATTCCATAACCACGTCCATAGAAAAACGAATAAACCGAATTGTTACACTGATATATGAAACAATTTCGCGTATTTTCATAAATCTTTAAATTTAAAAAAATAATTTAAACAGTATTGTTAACAATCATAAAAATTTTGACGGAAAGATCATAACATAAAAAAATTCTCACTTACTTATAATAGATTTTCGTCGGAATTACCATATTCCAAGAACGCCAAGAAAGCAATTTTAGCTGCTTGATTTTTAGCAGATTCTTTATCTTCACAAGGATTCGAAATGAATTTTAACTTTCTAGCATGGCAAGTACATCTATAACCTTTAAAGGTTTTACTGAACTGATATTCGATAATACCCCAATCATTTTCATTAACAAGTTTATACAAAATGCTAGGATAATTTTGTGTTACGGATTCCTTTTGCCGTTGAGGTACATCTGTTATAATTGCACGTTTCGTTGGAACGTTTACTGGAATTTCTTGACACATTTGCTGAACACCTTCAAGGTTTGGAGCATGAGAAGTTGAAAAAGATGCATAGGGAGTTGTGGGTGGTAAGTTAAACATTGGTTGATATGTAAATCCCATCGGAACATTTTGATAAGTTGACGGAGGCAATTGCGATGCCATTTCAAATGGTTGTTGCATGAAAGGATTGGGATACGTTGGCATATGATTTTGCGATACATATCCTTGTTGTGATAAAGTTAATGATGCGTACATTTCATTAGGTAGATGAGGAATTCTCCTTTTGATTTCCATTCGTGCATTCTCATCACTTTTAGCATATAATACGTTGAATGCCATCTCTGCTACGCACTCTTGAGCTTCATAAGGATACCAAAAAACGCGTTCACCCATATATTTAATTTCACCAACTAGAATATAAGCGACGTAGTTCCCTTGACCATCGTCGTAGAATTCATAAATTGGTTTTGAAATATTTGTTATGGTACAAAACTCATCCAACAACTTGCTAGCAGGAACGCGTTTTTTATCTTTTTCCGCATATTCCTCTACCAATATTTGGTAAGGTTCTCTTCTTTGACTCATTATACTCCTTATACCTCTTGATCTATTTGATTTTGGTATAAAATCTTTACCAAGAATTAGGATCCTATCGTCAAATTGCACCTTTTTAGGTTTACTTTCCTGATTAGCCTGCATCAATCCTTGATTTATTGCCGCGACAGCTTGTTGAATTTTTCGTAATTTCTTCTTTTTCTTCTTACTCAGTTTTGAAGGGTTGACTGGCCTCTTAAAAGTAACGGTAGAACTACTTTTCTTTTTCTTTTTTTTATTCTTTTCTGATTTAGTCGGAATATTTAGATTTAAGTTTTTCAGAAACTTGGATAACTCTCCATCATCATTTGCTTCTTGGTAGTTCGTATTCAACTTTTCTTTTTTTTCTTTTAGAACCTGAAGGAACCTTTCATGCTCTTCCGAAGACATAATTACCTTTAATAGGTTTTGAGCAGCAGCTTCTTTTGCTCCTTCTTGATTCGAAAAGGTTTCTTTTGTATCATACCATATATTAATAAAACCAGCACTACAAAAATATTTTTGTGAACTAGTTTCTTGACGAAACGTATACATTGGAGGAATATCCAATTTCAGTGTCTTATACATTTCCTCAAGAACTTCAGTTGCTGGTATATTACTATATATTCTCTCATGAGTGTTATTATTTGCTGATAGACCATAACAGCTGCTACCAATAAAGCCAGCGGAGTACGAAGCAGGTAGTGAATTATACATTTTTAATTGAATGTTATCAAAAACAAAATTTTCCGTTGAAGTTGGAAATATAACAAATTGAAAATTATAAACACAACTAACAAAGAAGAAAGAAAAGCAAAAAAAAAAAAAAAAAAAAAAAATGGCCAAATATATTTGTGGCTTATTTGGATTACGTAACCATCCATCGATCATCTGACAAATCAAATTTGATTTGTTATAACGCGCGTTACGATGTTTTGATTTCAAAAATTTTTTTTTTTATTTTTTTTAACCCATATATTTATCTAAAATTTCTCGAATTTTAAAAAAAAATTGTTACGCGACTAAATCTCATATCAGGTTTTGACGATCAAGCTATTATTATCCCATTACAAATAAATATAGTAAGTTTCCTATTAATAAAAAATAAAATAAATAAATAAAATAATGTTTTATTTTTTTTTTTTTTTTCCTCCAAAACAAATATTAATTTTTTCTTTCAAACTTCTGCTTCAGGGAAAAAACTTTGATCTTTTTTTAAACAAAAAATTTTTTTAACTTGAAATAGCTCAAATCCAAACGATATTGTTGGTTCTTTCTTTTGTACAAAGACCAAACAACAGTTTTCTGGAATTAAATGTGCAATAAAATAAAAAAAAATCTGAACGACGAAAAGATTTTCGAGGAGTTAAATTTTTTTTTCGCGAACTTGTCCATTAATTCAGATTACCGGTTTTGTGTAGTTACATCATATGTAGATCTTTTCTTTAAATCGAGTTTTTGAATGTTTTTGTTGTCCGTAAACAGCATTCATAAAATGCTTAAATATGTAGTTGGAAATTTAATTTTTAAGATAATCCCAATTAATTAACATATAATGACTGAGGGAAAGAGTGTATTTGTTTGTAATATTCTATATGAAGCCATTTCAAAAGATGTTGTTGAATCATTATCACGTTTTGGACCCATAATTAGATGTAACCTGATACCAAATAAATTTCAAAGTAATAAAAATATTGGTTATGGTTTTGTAGAATTTGAATATGAAGGGGACGCCGCTGATTGTATCGAATTTGCAGAACATCATCCACTATCATGCTTGGGTAGAGATTTACGTGTTAGCCTTAGTAATTCAAAGAATAAGAAAACAAGATGGAATCATGTAAAGGAAGATGCATTTAATTTATCAAGTTTAGAAATTGGGAATTGGGGTGGACAATCGATAGTGCATACAAATCGTAAAGAACAATCTGCATTTTTAAAAGAATGGAAGTATCCGGAATATTATGAAAAGCCCAAGATGTATTTTTCAGAAACCAGTGAGGCTTTTATATTAGAAGGGTTCAATGATTCTCACGGGACCTTCCAAAAAAGACGTGTTAAAATTCCCTTCCACATTTTGGAAGATACGCCCGAAGTCTTTATGGATGAAGGTAATGGTGTAATATCACTTTACATTAGCTTAAAGCATCCACCGTATCTTTACCGCGAAGCCCTTGAGGAAGAAACGACCGATATTGAAGTGGTTGCGCGCTTTTCCTGGGAACAAATAGAGCAAGGTCATTGGATCAGAACCATTGATTGGACTGGAATTGTTAATGTTTTTGGAAGGTGTTTAGTATATAGATTAATGTTTAGAGATGAACTTAATAAGTTACGTAAGAAATTACATGATCTCAAAACTCCTCAATATTCCATCAAAGTTATCGATAGACCAATTTGTTCAAAAGAATATTTTGGGGACTCAATTTCTCAGGTATTACCGTTTAGTATATGCTATAAACTGGAAAGCTTGATTTCCCAAGGAACATTAACATCTTGTGAAATAAGAGAGTCCGATATAATAAACCGATTAATTCACTTAGTACACTCTGAAAGTCAAGAAGTAATAGCGTGGCACGCATTAAATCAAATATCGACCAAGTATTGGGATCCTTTTGATGAAAAATATCAAGATCGTCCAATATCGATTTTTGAAACTGCGATAAAAAATTTTAAGAGTGAATTTACTATTTGGCACCCATCTAACCCGAACCTTAAATTGACAAATAATAAGCATAGTGCATGGGTAAACCATGCAACAATAACACCCACAAAAATATATTTTGACGGGCCAAACTATGAACAGTCGAATAGGATACTACGTTTATATGAGGATAAAATAGACCGTTTTTTGCGTGTTACGTTTACAAAAGAAGACTTGGATCGAATTTTCGTTAATGAATACGAAGATGTCGATATAATTAATCGGAGAATCATTTATATTATGACAACTGGATTTAATGTGGCTGGGCGGCATTACGAATTTTTAGCTTTTTCTTCGTCTCAATTACAGGATACTTCTTGTTGGTTCGTCGCGTCAGATGGAGAATTTGATGCAAATTTTATCCGTGCTCACATGGGAGACTTTAGGTTGGTGGTTATTTATAAATTTGCAGATTATAGTCTTTTGGTAATTTTACTAATTTGTATTAGTGAGATTAAGGCTCCTGCATTATATGCATCTCGTATGGGACAATGCTTTACAAGTACAATTGGAACATTGGAGCTAAGTCCATATCAAGTAGATTACACATTAGCTGATATCAAGAGAAATGGTTTTGATTTTAGGTGATATGATCATTCATTTCAGAATACCATTTGTACACGTATTCAATTCAAAAATTAATATACATTATTATGATTTATTATGATTTTTTTAGCGATGGTTGCGGGAAAATTTCGTCAAGTTTAGCAAAGCTTGCGGCGAAAGAATATTGGGGAACCAAAAATCTAAAAGATGATGAGATTCCTTCAGTGTTTCAAATACGGATTGGTGGATGTAAGGTTGGTATACTCGATTCATCTCATTTTTCAATTATTTTGATTATGATGAGAGATATATTTACATACATATTTCTTTAGGGAATGGTTGCAGTTGATCCAAATCTTGAAGGTAATCTTTTATGCATACGCAAAAGTCAAGTAAAATTCAAAGCACCCTCTTTAATTTTGGAGATTGTGAAGTCCGTGAGAACTCCATTGCCTGGTCATTTAAATAAACAGATTATATTGATTTTGTCGGCACATGAGGTACCAGACGAGGTTTTTATCCAACTACAAAATGAAATGCGTGAAGATATAGATTCAATGATGACGAATAAGGATAAGGCACGAGAAATTGTTAAAGGTGGCGCAAATGCAAGAGAGTGTTCACATATAACGCGTACGATACTCAGTATGATTGAAGCAGTTTGTATTTTTTAACCATTCATACTTTATACATCATATACACCATATGTAATTTCTAATTTCTTATTTTGGATTTTAGGGAATGATAAGAGGATCTGATCCATTTTTAAAAGCCCTTTTGGAATGTACGCGCGTTTATGCATTGAAGAGGCTAAGGCAAAAAGCTCGCATTTTAATGCCTAAATCTTATATATTATTGGGCGTTATTGATGAGACTGGAATTTTGGAAGAGGACGAAATTTTTGTGCAAACTTCTACAATCATCAACGAAAATTTAACATTTGATAAAACGAATGATAAAATCCAACGAGAACATAAAATTTGGAAAGAACCAGCTGGTAAGTTTTGCACGTTACAAATGATTTCATTACTATTATAATACAATGTATAATATATTTTGATTATTCTATAGTGATTACTAGGAATCCATGTTTGCATCCCGGAGATCTAAGGAAAGCAACAGCAGTTGACGTTCCAGAACTGTATCATTTGAGAAACTGTGTAGTGTTTAGCCAAAAAGGATATAGACCTTTGCCAAATTGCTTGGTATTTAATAATATTGAATTTCTTATACCTAATTTTTATTTTAAACATAAAATTAGATAAATGTTATTAATTTTTTTTTTTTAAAAAAAAAAAAAATTATAATAGAGTGGAGGTGATTTAGGTAATGATTTATTGTTATCATTAATTATTCTTCATAATTTGTATGATCCTTATGTTTATATAATTTTTTTATTTTTAACTGTAAAAGATGGTGATACATTTTTTGTCTGTTTTGATAAACGGATACTTATTACCGAGAACGAGGAACCTATGGAATTTGATTCCCAAGGAAGAAGAGAATTGAACAGGGATGTTGAAATTAGTGATATTTGTGAGTTCTATAAAGATTACATGCTGAATAATAGACTCGGTCAAATAGCCAATCTCCATTCAGCATTTGCCGATTTTACTTCGGAAGGTGTTAAATCTAATGAATGCATTAAGTTATCAAAAATGGTAATGATAGGTTATATTCTTATCATCATTTTATTAAGAACATTTCTAATTAATAATGCTTTTTTCTTAATGTTCAACTAGCATTCTAATGCTGTTGACTTTAATAAATCTGGGTATCCAGTACTAGATATACTACCAACTTTGAAGGAATTTCCGGACTTTATGGAAAACAGATTTAAAGATTCTTATAGGTCAGAAAAAGTGCTGGGAAAATTATATCGCAACATCCAACTCGATAAACCTGGAAAGGATCCTTTGCTAAAATATAATGAAATAACTATAGATGATGATTTTGTGTTTGAAGGATTTCAAGACTATTTAGAAGAAGCAATCACTTGTCGTGATAATTATAATAATGAAATTCGAAGCCTTATGAAAAAATATAATGTTAAAACTGAAGCAGAAGTTTTGACTGCACAATTATTAGGACTTCGAAATAATGATAGTAAGAAAGCCAAAGAAAATCGAAAATCGATTTCCGGAACTTCATCTTTCATAATCCATCATTATCGCAAAGTATTCTTGATGAACTTGCAAGAAGCTCATAACATTCATGATACTGATAATGAGGTATCACCATTCAATTTAGATATATCTATTCCTATAAACGAGAAATCAAAAGCTAAAGCTTCGGCATGGTATATCGTCACATATTGCAAAAATGAATTGCCTTATAATGGAAAATTTAAGATTACTTTATTAAGTTTTCCTTGGGTTGTATCAGATGTATTATTAGCAATCCGTAGGGATAATAAACTGGCTAGAGGTCAGTATTACTAAAAAGATTGAACTATTAGTATATAGTAATCTTTTTTTAGATTTATTTATATTAGTAGTATATACTGATTTATATCTGTAGTAACTTTATATTATTTAAAATATATAACTTATAACTTATTATTTATAAATAAAATTTTATTTATTTATTTCAAAATGCTATAATTTAAATAATTTATAAATAAAAAAATTATAACATTTAAACAAATTAAATATCATAAAATTTTATTATCATTGTAAAAATTAAAGTTTTGATAATTTTTAATGTTACAGATTTTATATATAATTTAAAATAAAAAATTTAATTTTAACAAGTAATTTTATATATATATATATATATTTGTATAATCTTATTAATTACTTTAATAAAATAAAATAATATTAATCATTTTATATAAATTTTTAAAATATTATAAATAAAAATTTTTAAATTATATAACAATATTTAATATATAATTTTAAATTAACAAAATAAATATAATAATAATAAGAATTATTAATAAAAAAAAAAAATAATTAATTAATTAATTAATTAAACTTTATAATTTCTATTAATATTTTTAAAATTTAAAATAATATTTTATATTTTATAAATTTTAAAATATGCTAAAAAAAAAATATCATTTTAAATTAAAATTTTATAAAAGTTAAAATTTAAATAATAATAATTTAATTTAGAATTTTTAAATATTAATATTACACCAGTTCTTTTAGATTGTGAGTAAATCACCTACAATATCAAGTATTAGCAGAAGGTTTCCTTCACAATAATATAAAATAAAGATAAAATATAAAGAAATAAAGATAAATAAGATAAATTAAGAAAAATGCATGCAATTAATTAATTAACAAATAAAAAATAACTAGTGCTGTTTTGTCAGTGCGTTTGTATTAAACAATTTATTTATTAAAAGGATTTATTACAAGAAAGTTTTATTACTCTTATTAGATTAACGAATTATTCCTATTTATATAAAAGTATATACTAATAATGATAAACTAAATAAAATAAATGAATAAAATGAATTAAATAACATCAATAATGAATGACATAATAAGATCTATTTGTATAATAAAAATTAAACTACTAAAATTAGAAATGATTTGCAATATTATAGTTAAATTAGATAGATAAATGATTTGTATTACTTATTTTTAATAATACATAAAATTGATCTTTATTTAACTTTGCAGATCATTTTTGTATATTCGTTTTAAGTGTAATATTAATTATTATAAAAAATATAAATCAGAATATAAAAATCAAATATAAGTTAAGATTAATTATAAAAATTAATAATTATTTATTTTTTTTTTTTTATATTTTAATAATATTTTTTAAAAATTTATATTAAAATAAATAATTTAAAATATAAAAAGTTTACTAAAATATTAAAATATTTAAAATTTTTATAATTTAAAATTAAAAAAATTTTATATATTAATTTTTTATATATATCATATTTATATCAATTATTATAATATATTTACTATATTAATATTTTTACATATTTTATTTTATCTTAATATTAAAAAATAAAATTAATAAGATTATTAATATATAATATTTTTTTAAAAAAAATAATAATTTATTTATTATATTTTTATATAATATATGTATTTAATTTTAGAAAATTTTAAACTTATATAAGATGTATATATCTGTATCACTTAATATATGCAGTGACTATTAAAAAAATGTAAATAATCATTTTTAGATTTAAAAGTCTATATCTAAGGTTGCTTATCTAAATTCATTTTGGATTTGGCAAAATGTTTAAACTATAGTTTCGCTAATTTTTTACTAAGGTTTTGCATATTTTATAAGCTTTGATGTAGTTTATCTTTTTCAGAATTTCACAGATTTTTTTAATAAGGTTTTAATATAGTTTCACTAAATTTTACCTTTTTCTATTTAGAAGGCTTATAAAACCTTTAAGTTTTGTCTAACAACTTTATCTATATCTTATTATTATAAATATTAGAGTTATAATTTTATATATTTTTAATCTCTAGGTTTTGAAGATTATTCTATATTAGAAATTATTTTTGAATTAAGAATATTAATTTGCATAAATTATTAATTTATATCAAAAACTATATTTAGTATATTTTTAATATAGTAAAATAGCTATTTTACATCTCAAATTTGTTATAACAAGTTAGTAAAGAATTTGAAGAATTTGATTATTGCTTTGTTATAGAAAGAGAAAATTAATATATTTAATTGATTAAGTATTACGTGATTCATTATATCAAAATTCATTATATTAAGGATAGATTGTATTCTTAATTAAAATATTTTATAATATTAAATAATCTTTAAAACCTAAAAATTAAAAAATATATAAGTTTATAATTCTAGCATTTATAGTTAATAAGTAATAGGTTTTTAAACCTAAAAAATAACTATTTGCATTTTTTTTGATAGTCACTATATATTTATTATTGATGTTACACTCTCTTATTTTTAATTTTTACTATTTATTTTAGAAACTTAGAATTTTTTAATAAAAATTCTTATTTATTGCACCTTATCTGTTATATAAAATCTTTGTAATAGAAAGGAAGGAAACTATCAAAAAAAATTTTTTTTTGCTTCATAAGCTAAATATTATTTTTTTAATAAAATAAGTTCAGATTTAATATTAACTCAAAAAAAATATTTTTGATAGTTTCCTTTCTTTCTATTGCAAAAGATCCATATAATCATTACACAGATAATTCTTAATTTTTTCATGCTAGTAAAAGTAATGTTAATGCTAGCTGATTCATATAATCTATATATAATATACTTGTATTACTAAAATAAATTTTATTTATATTAAAATAATATTTTATTTAATAAATTCAAATTTATTAACTCAAAATAATTATTTAAAATCTTTTTTTTTTATTACAAAATATTTATATAATTTATTTATTAAATAATATAATTTCTTAATTAAAAAGTTAGATTTAATTAATTTTTAAATATTAATTTATTAAAATTATATATAAATTAAAATCAAAATTTTAAATTTTTTGTATTTTAAATATTATCCTTTAAACTGTAAGTATAAAATTATTTCTAAAACATTTTAGAAAACTTAAAATATTATGATATTTAATAATTATAAAAAAATAAAATAAAATTTTTAGCTTTATCATATTATGATATATCTAATAGTAGTATTTTTAAACTTTTAAAATTCATAATTATCAATATATATTAATTTTTTTAATTTTTAATTTTTAATATAATTTTTATTTAATAATTATAAATATACAAATCTAATGTTGAAGTCATTTCAGAGTGATTTTTTGCTTTTTAGCAAATTATTATTATAAATCTCATACAATCAAATTGTTTCAAGTCAAAATATTATATTGATAATTTTATTCCTCAAAGATTCATAACTTCATCCCTTTTGTTGATAAGAGAAAATGCCACTATTAGCTCTTTAAACATCATTGGAATAAAACTATTACAACTTATTTTATTCAAGCTAAGACATTATTAGGAAAGCTATCAAATCCTATTTGTTTCTAAGAAAGTAACTATTCAGCATTATATCAACAACTCAGCTTTTAACAATTATTTCAGATCTATTTCTAAAAAGCAAAATATTTTTCAGGATACTTTTTAACTCACATGAACTTATTTTAAACTATAATGTATTAATTATAGCTTTACCTATAATAATATAATTGATGATAACCTACACTAAGTTATAGAAGTCATTTATTTTACCTCAATTGATAATAACAAACTGTATCTTCTCAAAAAATATTTAGACTATCATTGATTAAGTAAAATAATACTATATAATAATGCATTCTCCTATTATCTTGTTCAATAATTTTATTCTTAATACTCCGCCTTTTATTACTATTTCTAATTTATTTCTAAATAATAATATTAGTTTTTCCTTAATAGATTTTTATTATTTATTTTATAATGAAGAAGCTTTTATATTTTATACAAATAGTTCTCACAAATTTGTTTCTGCATCTTTAGCTTCATATTTAAGTTTAGCTTTCTTTTATTATATGATTCTTTAAATATAGAATTCTTAACTGCTATTAACTGCTATTCCTGCTATTTAGGTTAACTTTACCAATGCTGAAATTTTACTCTTTTCTTTATCTTATTAATTAATCCTTCGTTTTCTTCAATTTTAATTCATACAAATAGTTTAGCTCTTATTTACACTTATAATTATATAGTTAGAATAAATATATTTAATTATCCTTTTCTTATGTTCAAAATTTTTTTCTACATTTTTTAGTCTATTATTTTTAAATTATTAAAGAATGATAAATTAACATAATAATTTTCAAAGTTGCAGTTTACTTTAATAATCTATATAATAATAAAGCTGAAAGATTAGCAAAATCTTCTCTTTTTTTCTTTCTTTACAAATGTTTTTAAAATACATCCCTTTCGTCTGTTATATTCCCAAAATTAACAATATACCTATACATTACCTTTTATGTTCCTTTTTAAAAGACTATACTAATATTAAATATTTTACTAATTAATATTATCTCAAAAAAATATCAAATATTAAAAATTACAAGTAAATTAGATTTTGACTTTTAAATTCAATAAAATATGTAATCATAGTAAGAAACTCAAATTTCTGCTTGAACAACTTCTAACAATTCAATTTATGAAAGTTATATAATCTCTAATATATCTTTTATTTTAAAAATAATATCATTATAATAATTATAATGAAGACTTTAACCATCTCTGGCTTTGTTTCAATATTAAACAATATTTGCAATTCTTGATATCTAAATCTATTATACATCTAAAATAATAACTGTTCATTTACATTTTGCAATCTGAATTTTCTAATAACATCAATGATATTTTAAACCTATCATATTTATTTTAGTCATTACAAGCAAATTTACATGATTTTTCTTTTATTAATATCATTAAAAGCATTATTCTGACTATTCTTTTAATTACTATTATAATCATCTACTACTATCTTCTCTATTCTCTTTTC